AACTGGGAACCTGTTACTAAATTTGGAATCTGTCCCTAAATGGCTATTGGAAGGATCCTTCTTGTCATAATACCGAGTGGAGGGTTAATTCTTGGGCACCTTTCATAACTTCAGGAAAACAGGCCAGAAGCTCATTGGTAGTAAAAGAACAAAAGAAAAGCACTGCTGGATCAGATGGAAAGTCCACCTAGCTTAGCATTCTGTTCTCACAATGACCAGCCAGATGCGTGTGGGAAGCCTGCAAGCAGGATACATGTGTACTATAATAATAATAATAATAATAATAATAATATCTTTATTGTCATTGCCCCCTCTCGGGGACAACGAAATTACTTGGCTGCTCCATCCACCCAGGTAGGGCACTCCACACAAAATCAAAACACTATAAAAACACTATAAAACACTATAAAAACACTATAAAAACACTAATTAAAACAATACAGTATAATACAGCAAGGAAGATTAGATGACTTTCAAAGTCCAGGCTTCCCATTCAGGGCCGAGATCGCTCTGGAGAAGAAGCTGTTCTTAAGATGGCTTGTTCTTGTCTTCATCGTCCTGTATCTCCGTCCCGACGGCAGGAGCTCGAAGAGACAGTGACCAGGATGCGATGGATCTTTTACTATGTCCAGTGCCTTCCTATGGCACCTTGTGGCATAAATCTGCTCTAAGGTGGAGAGTGGGCAGCCAACAATGCTCTCTGCTGCCTTAACAACTCTGCACAACCCCATCCTGTCCTGGGTAGTACAGCTTCCGTACCACACACATAAGCCATAAGTGAGCACGCTCTCAATGGCACAGTGATAGAAGGCAAGCAGCAGTTTCTGCGGAAGATGGTTTTTCCTTAGAATTCTCAAAAAGTACAGTCTCTGCTGCGCCTTCTTCACAAGCCCCCTTGTGTTGACACTCCAGGACAGATCCTCTTGTAATTCAATGCCCAAAAATCTGAACGTTGTTACCCTCTCCACACAGACCCCATCAATCAAAAGTGGCTGGACATTGCTCTTCTGTCTCCTGAAGTCCACCACAAGCTCCTTTGTCTTCCTTGTATTTATGAGCAAGTTGTTAGCTCTGCACCACTCTGTCAGCCGCTCCACCTCATCTCTATAGTCCGTTTCACCCTCCCTTTCAGAGATGAGCCCAATCACGGTTGTGTCATCTGCAAATTTGACAACCTATTACTAGGGTGAGCAGCGACACAATCGTACGTGTAGAGAATATAAAGGAGCGGACTGAGTACGCATCCCTGTGGTGTTCCTGTGTTAGTCTTAAGCATACTAGAGGTATAAGGGCCCACCCGAACCCTCTGGGGGCGGTCTGACAAAAAGTCCAATATCCACCCACAAAGTGATAACGGAAGCCCCAGATCTTCCAGTTTGGACATCAGACGTTGTGGTAGAATGGTATTAAATGCCGAGCTGAAATCTAAAAAAAGCAGTCTGGCATAACCCCCCCCGCTGCTCCAAATGTGCAAGAACGGCATGGAGGGCAATCGCCACAGCGTCCTCTGTCGATCTTTTCGTTTTATAAGCAAATTGGAATGTGTCCAGTCCCTCTGGTAGGCAGGCAATGACATAATTTCGTACCAGCTTTTCAAAGCACTTCATGATTATAGGTGTGAGTGCTACTGGACGAAAGTCATTCAGATCTTCCGGGTTAGATTTTTTTGCTATTGGAACGATAGTAGAGGACTTTAGGCAGGATGGAACAATAGCCTGGGCTAGGGATCGATTTAAGATCCCAGTGAAAACTCCTGCTAGTTGATCTGCACAGTCTCTCAATACCCTTCCAGCTACCCCATCTGGCCCTGTGGCCTTCCTTGGGTTGATTCCCTTCAACACCTTCCTCATCTCTTCTTTTTCCACAGAGACTACCACATTCCTTTGTACTGATGATGGTGATGGTGGTGATGATGGCAAAGCCTTCACAGGGAGTGGTGGTGGTGGTGGTAAAGCCTCAGCAGGTGTTGCTGCAGATGTTACTTCAAAACGGGCAAAAAAGGCATTCAAATCCTCTGCGAGGGATGCCCCTCCCTCGTCTGCCAGGGAATCCTTGGATTTATACCCTGTTAATTCTTGCACATCTTGCCACACCTGCCTGGTGTTGTTACTTTGTAGATGATTCTCCAGCCGCTGTCTATACGCCTCCTTTGCTACACGGATACCTCTCTTTAGATCCGCTCTAGCTAAGCTGTACAACGACTTATTTCCACTTCTGAAAGCAGTATTTCTTGCCTTTAGCAACCCCTGGACCTCCCTTGTCATCCAGGGCTTCCTGTTTGGGTAGATCTTTATCCGACGCCTCTGTGTTACATTGTCAGTGCAGAACCTGATATAGTCCAACACTTGCTCAGTATGAGTCTCTACATCCTGTTGGGCGAATACCTCCCAATCGGTGTCATGAAAACAGTCTTGTAGTTGTTGGGATGCTTCAGCTGGCCATATTGTAATATCCCTCTTTATAGCTGGAGTCCGTTTCCTCACTGGAATATATTCAGGAGTCAGGAGCAGGGACACATGATCAGATTGGCCTAGATGTGCCAGTGGTTCGGCCTTATAGGCCTGTTTGACATTTGTATACAGCCTGTCCAGAGTCCTTTCTCCCCTGGTTGCACACTTTATGTGTTGATAGAATTTAGGTAGGACCACTTTCAAATCTGCCTGGTTAAAATCCCCGCATACAAGAAATGCAGCCTCGGGATACTTGCCTTGTTGTCTGCTAATGGCATCATGCAGAAGACCCATTGCCTCATTGATGTTCGCATCAGGTGCAATGTATACTATAGTTATCAGTACTGCTGTAAATTCTCGGGGGATATATATAGGTCTGCATTTAAGCGTCATAAATTCCACTAGCACTCTCCCACTTGTGTTCCCCAACAACTGATATTCAGAGGCATAACTTTGATATTGGAGGTAATATATTGCCATCATGACTAGTAGCCAGGGATATCCTTACATTCCATGAACTGGTCTAATCCCCTGTTAAAGCTATCCAAATCACATCCTGTGAGTGGCAAATTCCATAGCTCACTGTGTGCACTTCAACTGTCGGCTCTGAATATCCCAGTATTCAGCTTAATTGGAAAACTCTGGGTTTGAGTACCATGAGAGCAGCGTGGAGATTCTTTCTGTACATTTGTCTCCTTACCATGCATGTTCCCCAGTTGGCAAGAATTTCCACAACACAGAGGAGGCCATATTTAACCCTGCTGGTAAACCAAGAGTATGAACTGCACACCTACTTCAACCGGTGGAAACAAGAACTGTATACACAGCCAATAGAGAAATACCTCGCTGTGATGATTCCCTTATCAATGAAATTATGGACCCTTCGATGGAATAAGTGAACACAATCCCTTTGACTCTATCCTTCTTGCATGGCTGGGTGCTTCCATTCAGGCCCAGATTCAGAAGCGAGGTACGCCACGGAGAGGAGAACATCCCAAATGGGAATACACAGTTGCTGTCTTCTCCCAGCTGTTGGTGTCCTTCACACAGGCATGCCAGTGACATAGAGCTCTTGTCATTTGCCTCAGCTTCAGCAACAGAGCCTAAGAAGCTAGCTGCTGACTCAGTGCTTCTTATGGGCATCTCTCCTTAACAAGTTCTTTACCTGTGCTTCAGAGGAATTGGAGAAAGTAATTCAAAGGGTAGCACACCAAGTCTCCTTTCTAAGGAGACACACAGAAACCACTTCGGAGCCTGCTTCACCACCTCCTGCGTCCATCTACATTCAAACCTCCTGGGAGAAGGATCGTGATGACCTTTTTATAGTTTGATATTGTTTATTATATTTTGGGGTGTTTTTTTAAATATAGTTCCATTGGCTTGGAAGAATCTGTATCCTGAAAGGCAGGGTACCGTATAAAGAATTGTAATAAATAAATAAGAAATGAACACATCCTTGATCAAGGCAAGCATGCCTAGTGTTTTTTCTTTATGATGGGGGACAGGGGGATATTTCTGTAAAGATGCCTTAGTGATAACTCTTGGAAAGAAGCTGGTTCTGTGAACATCCTTTTATTTTTCTGGATATTTTGTGGTTTTCTGTGACTCTAGATATTGTCAGGATCTAGGCAAGGGCTCTGGGTGGCCATATTCAGTTCCAGGCCTGAAGGGTGAAAGCTCTGCCCCAGGGTCTCTGAGCTCAGGAAGCAAGGTGGCTGGAGCCTGAGAAACAGCATACAGAAGGTCTTACGTTTTCTTCACTCTGACTGATTACACTGGAGGAAGGCTTCACCATATACTGGTTTTATTGAAAGTAAAATGTATCAACCTTTATGAACATATTGCTGAACCTCTTCTATAATGCTCCTGGTGAACATTTTCACACGACCGCAGGAAACACATTGTGGCCTTTCGCTGAGTTTTTTGGTGGTTGCTGTGAAATTGTTCACCTACTCAGGAAGCATCGTTCTCACCATGTTTTGATTTCATTTGGCATCTGCAGGGAGTCAAATTTGGTTACGTAGTGTTGTGACATTATCCTATTCACTCTTAGATTCAGGGGCATTGTGTGGGCATTGCCAGGGGGGCTGTAGCTCCAGGTGCATAATTTTTGAGTGGGTGTGATCCAGGAGCCCCCCCCACTACAGGTGCCCCCAGCATGGCTCAACCCAGTGCCCCTCTCCGCCCGCCAAGGACCCCATCAGCTGGGTGGGCTTCCCCCTGTGTGGGCAGGCAGGTGGCTCAATATGGCCCTGCTTTGATCCAGTGGCTGTGGGGTTGATCCGGTGGCATCGGTGGCGACAGCTGGGCCACCCCGGGCACCGACAACTCATATGTATATACCACCCTCTCACAAAATATCAGGGTGGTGTAAAGCAATATAAAAACAATTTGAAAATCAGTTTCAAGCAGGACAGAATACCATTCCACAGCATGGGTCCAACGACACTAAATGGCTGACTTCTGGTGAAGGCCAGTCCAGGCTCTGTGACATGAGGGACAGCTAACAGCATTCCTCCAGATCTCAGCGATCTGGCTGGGATATGAGGGCTCAGGGAGCACATTTTGTGGAAATAAGTTATGTGAACATGTTTTAAATGAGCAATTACAGTCAAATTGTGAGAGCAAAAAAGGTGCAAAGACCGTAAGTGATGGGGGAAGGGCGTAAGACCTGCTATTAACCAGTATTGGTCATTGCTGAATTATTCAAAGTGTAATGAAAAGAAGAGTGGTGGTTTTTTTAAAAAAAGTAATTTATAAACATACAAAACTAGAAAATTACATGGCAATTCAAAAACAGCATACAAAATTACAGAAAATGTGAAAAGCTTGTGGCAATTACAGCAATTATATACAGAGGGAAAAGAACTGCACTTAAAACAGGATTAAGCCAGGGAAAATGATGTAGAGTTATTGATACCCAAGTCTTTCTTATGTGCAGAACCACTGGAGCCCTACACTTCACTTACAGGGAAGCTGTTAATTGAGCCTAACAGTAACAGTTTCCATGCAAAGTCTCCACAGGAAAAGAGCCTTTTCAGTGGTGGCATCATGGCAATGGAATGTTGTCTCCGGAGAGGCTTACCTGGTGCCTAAGTTGATGCTATTTTGGTGACAGGGGAAGAAGACCTTTTTATTATCACAAGGCTTTTCTTCTGATTCAGCTTTAGTTTGATTTCTCCCCTTTGCCACATGCTTTTATGCTGCTACATTTTCTTGCTGTCGTATTGTGTTGTATGTACTTTTAAATTTGCTTTAAAAACTACAATGGGATAACATTGTTGTAAGCTGTCCTGAGAATCTCGTCAGCCTATAAACATTTAGACTAAAATAATTAAAATAAAGAAAAGAAAAGGTGTATATATTATATAGCAATTGCATAGAACCTTTGACCCTCCACATATTGTTGAACTGCAACTTCCTATTACCCCGACCAAGCTTGCCATGGCTGATGGGAGTTGTAGTTCAGCAATATCTCGAGGGTCAGAGGCAAGCTTCTCCATACCTATAATACAGAATGGTAGCTAGATTTCTAATTCACTGCAGTTTAACAGTACCACAACCACAGTAGGCTTGCAGCATATATTTTGGGAAGTGTGTTTTATTTTCCAGCTTTACATACCAGTACCAGGTTTTTGTTTTCTTGCTTTCAACAAAGCTGACAAATTATTGGCTCCGGTCTCACCTCAACCCGCCTCCCAGCTCCCCCCCTCCCCCCATGGCTGCCTGTCTTTATTATGATTTGGATTGTGGCGACAGCTACATGGACATGTTGACTGGATCCTTAATCACAGGCGCTTCATCCAAGTCAGAGAGGCTCATGAGCCAGGCAGGCCTTGGCACAGTCGTGAGAAAGGCAGAAACCCAAAGGATCAGATGGCATTAAATGTCGTAGTGCTGTGCTCCCTAGGAGACAATATGTCCTAGAGCCCAATCACACACAGAGAGGCACTCCATTCCAGAACCGTCATTTAATGCAGCTACTCCGCAGGAGTACCCCAGAGACGTGACATTAACTCGGTCGCTCTCGATTCCAGAGGCAGAGCATTAGCTAGGCTCCCTCCATCCAGCGCTCCTAGCAAATTGCTAAGAGGAACAAACTGGCCGAGGTGGTTAATAAAGCAGAAGAGATGGATGTAGAGGCAATCGTGGGGAAAACAGGGACAGGGAGAGATGGGGGTGGGGTGGGGGTGGCATAGGAGAGATGTTGTGAGGTGATGGACAGAGCAGAAGCAGTGTGCTGGTGACACCTGTGCATTTGTTGGAAACACATGCCTAAGGCTGTGTGTGTGTGTGTGTGTGTGTGTGTGTTTGCACAGGCAGCTTAATTTCCCCCTCTTCCTTCACAACAGGATCTGGAGAGTTTTAAGGCCTGAAAGAGTCAGCAAGTTGTTTGTTCCAACCATCTGTCTCATTTCCCTTAGCAACAATTTGTCCTTCTCTTCTCCTTGGTGAAGTATCTGAAGCAAAGTCTGGCTGTTAACCCCCTCCCCCTCCCAGTCATTTTTGTGTCTTTCTCACCTCTGTTGGCTCTCTTGTAGGTCATTCCCTATATATCCCATACATAGATCTGTGACGTCTCCTCTCCATCTGTCCTTTGGGTATGATGTACATGCTAACATTCTGGGGGCGTGATGCTGAGAGAGGAAGCAAGTACATTAACATTCTGAGGGAGGGAGCTTTGAGATGTGCATGAGATGTACTTGGAGGTATACAAACTTGGTATAGTCTTGCTGTGCATTGGCCTCGTTCACCCATCACATTCAGCCGCACTTTAAAACGAACTATGGTTTAATGCACACAAGCAGCGTGATGGTCTACTCTACACTACTCAAAAGGTCTCACGATGCACCTCCCCTGTTCCTGGTTCACTGTGGATGAAACGAGCCAGAGTGTGGTTTGTTGTGTCAGCTGAATTACGGCTCGTGGTTTACTTCTCTCCCAACAAACCACAAGTGGTAACCAAAGTTTGTTCTTGGTTTGCTGCTGGCTTGTTTGAGGAAAATAAAACCACGCGTTCAGGATGGGATGACTGAACAAGCCACAACAGGACTCTGGCTTGTTTTGTCCGTATTTATTTATTTATTTATTTATTATTTAGGAGTATTTATATCCTGCCTACTAACTGAAGTTCACAGGGTGACTTACAATATATTTTAAACACAATGAAATAGATAATGATGCAATAGTCACTACAGCAAGGCAAAGGGGTGTATAAAAGTCTCCTCCCCGCCATTCTTTGATGGTCCAACCATGATGGCCATTCTGCAGATGCCTCTCCTGGCCTAGAATGGATTGTTGAAGCAGCTAGATATTAGTCTCACACAGGCCAGAACTTCCTCATTGGGTGGTTGCCACTGTTGTCTCTCCCAGCCTCAGGCGGCAGATGCAGGAGGTCCTGGGAGAGCAAAGACATCCCAAGCCTCCGTCTCATTCCTCAGATGTTCCAGCTGCCCATTGACTCCACCACCCTGCCTACAACCATGAAACACAACCCAGGTCATTCATTCGGCTCCCCGTATGCTAATGCTATTGAGCTCGACTCATTCTACAGCCTCAGTTAAAAATAACATTTTAATGAAGGGCTTATTTACACTCCAGCCTTTTTTATCCAGGGTTTTTCTCAAGGCACAACTATGCACAGGGTAGCCCCTCCTCCTCATGTTTGTTGAAGAAGGCTCCAGATTATATCCACAGCGCAAGAAAAGATGTTCAGGCATTACATCACATATATACCTTGGGGGGTCGCTGCTGATGTCACATTTGTTTGTTTAATTTGTATACTGCCCTTCATCTTTAGATCTCGGGATGCTTCACAACATAAAAATACAATATAAAAGCACAGAATAACATTATAATAGCAAGAACAAAACCCCCCATAAACCAATAACCCCCTGTTCAACTGTAGCCAACTGCTGCAGCCTGCTTCTGCAGCAGCCATTCTGCCATTTCAGTGTCAAGCCATGCATTTATGGCACAGTGCAATTCTTGCAAGTGATTTTTCTTCTTTTTTAATAGTTCAACTTCGGAAGGTGAAAGACATCGAAGCCCTGCCCTTTGCATCCTGAGTGACATCCCAGTAAGGTCTGACACAAGATATGCATGTGTTAGGTGCAAGACCACAGGGGATACTGTATGGCAGACAAATATTATGTAAGTCAGGCTTCCTCAAACTCCACCCTCCAGATGTTTTGAGACTACAATTCCCATCATCCCTGACCACTGGTCCTGCTAGCTAGGGATCATGGGAGTTGTAGGCCAAAACCATCTGGAGGGCCAAGTTTGAGTAAGCCTGAATTGTAAGTAGTGCAATGTGGAACCAAGAATAATTAGGATGACCTTGAAACACCCAAGAGTTCACTTCTAACAATAGTGTGTATGCAATTTGGAGCAATAAGAGAAGCCAGTGTCTAACATCCTCATTAAACTATGTTAATTATCTGAGGGAAATGTCTTAGCAGAAAAATTACAGATTTCTGTGATATTGGACAATACCAAAGGGAGAATGTTTTTTTTAAAAAAAATATTCTTAAGCCTCTGTGGCTAGCACTCTATGTTTAGCATGACTCAGAGTTTGAAGAATAGCTAAAGGATCAATTTGTCTATAGAGTTATTAGCAACTGGTGTGCTCTGAATTACCAAGTGCGGCCAGTAGAGAAAACTGGTTAGAAGCAAAAGGCCGGGGAACTATGCATAATGTAGGTAGCATTGCAACTGGACTTGCAAAGATTTTACCGCCCTGCTCCACTCCAGGCATCCAACAGGGGAAATCTAAAAATGCTGTTTGAATGATTAATACCTTCTTACTACCTTCAGCATCATAGAATCAGCCAGTAGTTCAAGAGCATGGATTTATGTCTGCAGTGCAATCAGACATTTTCCTCTTGAGAGTAACACAATTTAAGAATTGCAACAGACCATTCTCAAAATAAGCATGTTAAGTAGGAGAATAGGAATGTTAACACCAATGCTCTGGAAATATTATCAACACCACATATTTCATGTATTAGTTCAGTAGCAGAAGATGACATCTAAATCTATATAGAAAAATAAAAAGTCTCATACAGATGGTAAAATATTATTTGATTGCAGGGAACGAAGCTGAGTTGAATCCCAAATCTGTTCCATTTTAACCACACAAGCAGATTACTGGACTGTATAAAATAAAATTGTGACAGTTACTCGTTTTCCTGTAAACAAAACAGAAGTAAACTATCATTATGAGATTAATATGGATGTTTAAAATCAGGTATTGTGAGAAACATGCCATTATAATTCATGTGCCTATGGAAGGAAACATAGAATTAATGTAACAAAACAGAGAGTGTTGCACATTCACACTGATCAGCTTTAGCATCAGGACAAGCTTTTTAATTCAGACCAACATCTTGAGAATTTTGAAAATACAGAAAATACTACCTTTGGCCATTTTTGCCTCACTGTATTTCAATTTGAATTTGCATGCCTCTATACACATCGGAATGGCTTGGTGTGTTTTGAAATCTCCTATTTTGTGTACACACCATTGGGCGGAGACAGGGTCAACTTCATCAGGCGCTTTAAACATTTCCACCTTCTCCCATGCAGGATCAGTAGCCTGAAGTCCCATGAGTGATGTGCTCTGGCTGAAGCAAGGCTGAGAAAGAGGGAGAGCTTCCATCATGGCACTTGCCTTGTCTGCTCATGATGCTTATGAAAAATGAACTATATGATGGTTGATAGGCACAGGGAGGAGTACAGGTGAGCAGAGTGCCAGAAGTGAATGATTCCAAAGTGCAGGTAGGAAGTGGGATTACACACACCTGCTGATGTCATAGACTTAGGACCACCCCAACACATGTATTCTTTGTACACATCTGGGATTCATGCACCACACATTGAACAAGCAATGTTTCCATGTTAGAAAGCTGAATCAAAATGCAGGGTTCTTTTTAGCAGAAACTCCAAGATGTCTGTAAATCCTGACTAGCATTGTGTGCACATGGGCTAAAACAAGAACAAAAGCAGTTTGGAATGCCCTGGAGCTAGATTAACCACGAATGTGCACACAGCACAACACAGTAAACTACTCCTCTGGAAATGGTTTCTGCTGCATACAAAATCAGTTGCAACAAGATTTAATGTCTGGCAAATGGCAGGAAGAACATTACATGATTTACTTACCTTGGCTAAGGTCAAAGGTCACCACACTGCATCGATACCAAGCTATAAAGTATGACTAGAGTTTTAAGTAAATGTTACATAGCAACAGAAGTACTCATTGGAGTAGGAGTAGGAGTACTTGCATGTAGTTTTATAATAGGAGCGGTGTTTCCCAAAGAGCCCTGTGTCGTGCTTTAAAGTGCTGCTGGACACCTAAAGTGGTGACTTCAAGTTTGTCTTCTGCAAGAATTGGCTACATGATCAAGTTGCCCATGGAGAACTTGGTTGCACAGCCTATCTAGTGGGCTTGGAGTCACCACCCGTCGGCTGATGGGATGGGACTTCCTGCCTGCTTTTGACATCAGGTGGACTGCCAGTGGGTGTAGTTCGTGTGAAACAGTCTTGTGGGCCAAATGGAGTCCCTTGCTGGGCTGAATTTGGCCTGCGGGTCAGGTTTCCGACCACTCTTTTATACTGATATATTTATACCTTACATATTTTCAAAAGCAGTTAGTTGTAGAAACATATTTCACAGCTGTAGAATTGCCAGGGAATAAATTATTTTATTACCAGAAAACAGCTGTAAGGGCAGGAAATAAAAGATATAATCCTTGATGTAAGGTGATAAAAGCACAGTTCTATAGCATTTATTCAGGACACAAATTGTGGAACAGCATCAATATTTGATCCTGAAGATTTGTACAATATTAAAGTACAAAAAGAAATTAAATTGCAACTGGCAATATGACTTATTGAAGAAGAAGAAGTAGAAGAAGAAATGAAACAGTCCTATAGTAAGAAGCCACAGGGGGGTGGGAATAATTCAGAATTGTCAGCAACAAGTGGCAAATTATTTAATATTGCTTGAAGCAAGTGACACAAGTGTACAGTTTTATAGGACTGATAAGCAGTGACAGGTTTGGCCCTGGCATATAAAGGCTGGGATAGTGCTTTATTTCTATAGCTGATGTGAATTGGTGGGCTGAGTAATGGAAGAGGCACTTGCTTACAATGACCACTGTAGTGGAACAAGTTCTAAACTATAACCCAACACTTGGGGGAGGACAGAGGTGGTTTTAGGGCAGCGTGACTAGTGCAATGCATTGGACGCTGAGCAGAGAGAGCGCCTGGTAAGCACTTGCCCGGCTGCAGGAAGGAGGTGTGAGGGCTCTGTCTAGGAAGGGCCTAGAGCAGTGGCGAAGGAAGGCTTTCTGGCACCTGGTGCGGGGTGTCGAGGGGCAGGGCAAAACACCCACAGGGGTGGGACAAACAGCCTGGGGTACATGTGCAGCACTGATACAGACGGCGCATGCCCGGCGCCGATACAGACTGTGCTCGAGGTGCCCATAATGACAGCGCACCCTAAGCTGCCCTACAGTGAGTGTAGCCCTCGACCGACCGCCATTCTGTCATCCCCCTCAGGGTGACACCCGGGGCGGACCACACGTTCCTACGCCCCTGGCCTAGAGTCCTCCTGCCTCCTTCCCAAAATCTAGTTAGTAGTTGCTCAGCTTTGGGAAGGAGACAGGAGGACTCTAGGACCCTGACAGAGCCCTAACGCCTCCTTCCCAAAGCCCAGCATGGCGGGAGGGCTGGGGAGAGGCTGCCAAAACTGGAGCATCACCCAAGACTGCAATTATAGGTAATTTTAGACTCGAGACTTTAAGGGATGGTCCTCTTGACATGGTTATCATTATGTTTATTACTTTACCCACTTCAAAATGTGGTAAGCCAGTCCTGCTGCATTTGGCAGTAATCTTGCTCCTTCTGCTAGTGAGGTTCTGGTCTTCTGCCCCCAGTTGAGCCCTGATGGTGCCACTGCCAAGACCTATTCCAGCAGTTTCCTAGAGTTGGTCTGAATGTTGCCCCGTTTAAAAGAGTTGCTTTATCTGCTCTGTATTTTAGATCAAGAAAATAGCAGTAAAAGTACCGGGGGGCGGATATCAAATCCGCACGAATGGTTTATAATACCATCTCATAGGGAACTGCAGAATAGTCACTAAGTATGGGGTTGGACGCGGGTGGCGCTGTGGGTAAAACCTCAGTGCCTAGGACTTGCCGACCATAAGGTCGACGGTTCGAATCCCCGCGGCGGGGTGAGCTCCCGTCTTTCGGTCCCAGCTCCTGCCCACCTAGCAGTTCGAAAGCACCCCTAAGTGCAAGTAGATAAATAGGTACCGCTTTATAGTGGGAAGGTAAATGGCGTTTCCATGTGCTGCGCTGGTGTTGGCTCGCCAGAGCAGCTTTGTCACGCTGGCCACGTGACCCGGAAGTGTCTCCGGACAGCGCTGGCCCCCGGCCTCTTGAGTGAGATGGGCGCACAACCCTAGAGTCGGACACGACTGGCCCGTACGGGCAGGGGTACCTTTACCTTCACCTTTATGGGGTTGGAGGCTGGTGGACAGTAGACATCGTTTGCAACTTAATTTCTTTTAAATATCATTTTCGTTTTTGCAGAAGCAAAAAATAGGCCAGATCTGATGTTTCCCTGGTTTACCAGAAGATGGCGCTGATGAATAAGTGTTCCTTGAAACCTTATTTGGTACCAGCGTGGGTGGTAGAACAAACAGGTAAAAAGCTGTCATTGGTTCAATTTCCACTAGTGAGAAAGGCGGCAAGCATTCAGCGTTCGTTATGTTTTTTGCATGCAAGTCACAGGTCTGTGCAAGATTTTGTGCAAACCTAGTTGACAAACTAGTAGCAACATGCAACAAAACAAGACAGCAGCCTCTACACTGCAAACCAGGCCCTTCGCCAATCTTCGCTGCTGCTTAACAGAAGCAGGCAGAAATATAATCTCTGGCTCCTACTGAATCAGGCAAGCAAAGTCCTCCAAGCAAGGGACATTTTGTAGTAGGGAACAGCAACAAACTAATTTCTCTTGTTACTGAAGCCAGCAAGGAAATCTGCCCGGGGTGGTTTCATGGAGCAAAGAGGTTGAGCCTTATCAGAGGGCTTGTCTATTGCTGTCAAAAATGACGTTCACTGCGGGCCTTCAACAAGAAGCCAAGGAATGTGGAGGATTCCGCCTGTGAACCACTAGCAAGCTCTGGCAGTGGAGGATATATTGTGCCTGTGTGGAGTTGCATCTCGCAAAATTCAATGCAGAACTTTTGATTGCTGAAATTGCTGAACAAATTAAATGTTCTTGAGATATAGTAGAATGTAAGTACTCTCTCTCTCTCTCTTCTTTTAAAGTTATTGAATGACCTTTAACTGGTTGTATTCACATCCGATAAAAGAGAATTACGTCGCAATGTGATATCACTGATGTAAGGAACTTCTCTAAAATGTATGCTGGTTTGGTTGGAGTACATTAGGAGGCACTAATACTTCCTGAATACCAGTTGCTGGAAACCACAGGAGGGGAGAGTTCCCTTGTGCTTAGATCCTGCTTGGAGGTTTCCCACAGGCATTTGGTTGGTCACTGTGAGATGCGGATGCTGGACCAGGCGGGCTATTGGCCTGATCTGGCTTGCTCTTCTTGTGTTCTTTTTGCATTATCAACATTTGGAGGGCATCCCATTGGCTACCTCTGCCTTAGACTGCTTGCTGGTGGTAGCCTGGAAGTAGCGTTGTAATACCAAGGCCACCCATGGCTTCACATTCTACGCTAGCTTTGAAAATGTGGTTGTTGTCTCATGTAAATAGAATTTATTCCTCACGGGGGGTGTTCCCCCCCCAAAAAATAGACAATGTGAACAGTCTTCTTTGAGCAATCCTAGCAAGTTCAAGATGCAAAGGCTGATGTCCTCTGTACACTTATTCTAAATAAAATTTCATTTAAATCAATAGAACATTAAGTAAATGTGATTAGGGGCGGGTTGCAATGCTGCAAAGAGGCCTAACAGACACAAATAAGCCACTAATACGCCTGGAATCTCCTAAACAGAATTCCCTTTGGTGACTCAGTGCATGATTTTGTATTCTTTGCTGCGGTACTTTTATTTAGCAAAACCTGCAGCAGAGGCATATGTAAGCAGCCAAGTGCTGCTTAACAAATGGGCCCTTTCCTTAAGGAACCAGACAAGAAAAAGTCGTAAGTTGCACTGAACATAAAATTGCCTGTGTAGTAAAAGGTACTAGTCGCAATAGCATCCAGCAGTTACTGCTGTGTTTATTCCCTATTTATTCTTTATGTACACTATAACGTAAGCAAAACAGTCTACCCCAAGGAACATGCCATCTAAATCTCAACAAAAGGGAGACAATGGAAGGACAAGAAGGGAGGGAAGATAGAATCATGGAAACTATGGATGCAGTTAGCTTAGTATTTCTAGGAAGTGAAGGTTAAGAGGTTGGGCTAAAGTCTTCCTGGAAAATGTATTTTGAAGAGAGATTTGACAGGAAGAGGTGGCATAAGGAGCTGGCAATGGTGAATGGGTGGAGTTGTTTCAGATTGCAAACCTATGCACCCTTACCTAGATTTGATACTTGCTTCTGAATAGGAGCTAAGATGCATCTGGTTCCAGGCAACTCATTCATCCCGGATCTTAATTAAAGTGGGCAATCCTATGATCACACATAAGTGGCCTGCCAAGGTGATGGAACTGAGATATACACTTGGGAGAGGAGGGTGGGGGATAGGCCATGTCTTATTTCTTTCTCCAAATTCAAACTGGAAAACCTCCTTTTAGCTTTTCCTTCCTGTCCCACTTCCAAACTCTGATGGACACTACAACAGGAAGACAGTGAAAAGGACTGCGTCAGAAGGTGGTAAACTTTCCTTCATTCGAAGTTTTAAGACACAGGTTGGATGGCCATCCATTAGAGATTCTTTAGCTGTGCACGGGGGATTCTTGCATTGCATGGGGTTGGACTAAATGACCCTTGGGACCCTTCCAATGCTACAATTCTATGATTCCGAAGAGTGGAGAAGTATTCTAGAGCAATAAGCACCACTTAGCTTCTTCTGTTAAGTCTCTGGTTACAGACCAGGTTAGTCAGGCAAAACCACAGCGAAAGACCCATTCACATGAATCAAGGCAGCTAATGATCTGTTCTAGGAAAATGATCCCACTGTCTTATTTCTGTCTAAAAGATGTATATTGTTGCTGTTCAAATGCTTTCCCTTTTATTCAATTAAAGTCCTTGCTTTTTAGTCTGCTGCATCCAGATGGTAGTTTCTTCCAGAGTTAATTTAGCACTTAAACATTTATCTGGAAGTGGAGATAGCAAAGTATCTCAAGAAAGAGGGAGGAGGGTTGCTAAGTGAACAACTTGTTTCCAGAGTGCTGCTGGCTGTATTTTATTGTTTATTGTTCATTTTAGTTATTAAATTTGTATACTGCCAATTGGACTCCCTACTTGATTGAATAAACATTTCTTGTATTGTGTCACACCTCTTGACTGTTAAAAGTGAACAATTAAATGAATATTTCTTGAAGCCCAAGCCTGTACTGTTAAGCTACTGTTCTGCATTTTCATCACAAACTTCTTGTGGACAATTGCCTGGACGTCACTATTTTGTTGATGTGTAACTTATCCTTTTATTAAAGACTTCTGAAGAACTGTCGAAGGCCAGCCTTCCCAAATCTTTCGCTGCTGATTTCTGCAGCTCTGGGCCCTCCCTTCCTTGGCCTTGTCATCTGTCCAGCCCAAGGGACTCACATTTCCTACAGAAACTGACAGAGGACAAGCATGTAAAACTGCATTCTGGATTTCTGCCCCTGGTTACTGGCACAGAGCTGCAGGATGCCCTATAGCACTTACTTTGAAATTATGTTTTCCTGGTAGAGGATCATCTGTAACTTGTTGTCATAGATGGAGTGCAACCACAATCCTCCCTGCCTCCACAGCAAGAGAAAGAAAGAAAAGTAATAAGCAATTTCTTTCACAATTACAAAAACCAAAGGCAAGTAACTGTACTCAATAATTATAACTTGGAGTATTATTTGAGATGATTGGACGAGTGGGAGTGACTACCTGCCTGCCACAAGAGGGGATTGTGAAGTGCCTAAGGTGGGAGGCTGTGCAGTTTTGTGGAACCCTGGGGCATGCTCACAGAAGCTGAGGGTTCCATGGAACTCTGGGTAAAAAAACCAACCCTGTGCTACAGAAATAAAGTAACTCTTTGTGAATCTTTCATGAGGCTGCCAAGTATTTGTAAATCTTTCAGGAGGCTAACTATATTGAGTCAGGAGCCAAAGAGCACATTACAGCAATTCAGACTGGATTGTAACCAATGCATGTGTCACTGAGGGAAGACCTCCACTGAATGACTGCTGTTCTCAAAGGTCCACTGAATTTGGGAGGCAACTTGCAGGGCAATATTATATTATTATATAGATGTGATCAGAACTGCAGGGCCACTGAAGTGGAACAAGCATATGGAAGCTCACTGGGAACTGTATTTTAGATCCTGGCCCCTGGGCATGCTTCCTTGTTCTCAGTAGTTCTCAGTCAAGCCTGAAAATTCCTCAAGACACAAGGAACAATAAATGCACTGGATTATTTCACATTGTCAAATGACAAATGTCAGTGCATTCCTTATGCCCTTGCTGCTCCTTCTTATGCAAACTGACTCCTCCACGAAACAAAAAACTAATTGCACCAGTCTGCCACCACTCAACTCTCTCCCCCTCCCCCTTTCCTACTGTATTGTTTAATTAATGCCAGGGCTCTGGAGTGAAAACTGTTTTTCATATCAGAGCTAACCTCAGATTTAGGAGGATAAACAGGTTTCTAAGCATGTGCAGAGAGCTCTTCCTTCGACACTGAGAAACCACTGCTCCCCCCCCCCCCCATTATTAAAGAGCAAGGGTCCCTTTCATGGGACATGGCAAGGATTCTAGACAGGCTCGAGCATAGCAAAGAAAAACCTCGTTTTAGGAATTTAGCAGCGAAGGAAGGCTTCTCTTTCCCCTCTCAGCACCCGCCTCTCTTTGCCCCGAGGTGCGTGCAATCGGCCGCTCCCTCCGCCCCCGCGAGGCCTCCTCTTTTCGCCAGCTCGCTTCGCCAGGCCCGAGCTTCCCGACAGCAGAGGGCGCAGGAAGGCCCCGCTGTCGCCATAGTTACCGCTGGGTGCGTAGCGGGACTTACGGAGCTGACGCAGTGGGCGGCCCGGCGGGCGGAGGCGGCCCTGGCACGAGCGGAGGCGGCATTAGAGAATTGGGGCGGCGGGGTGCGGGGTGGCTGCCGAGCCCCGGGATGGAGGCGGCAGCGGCTGCGGCTTCGGCCCGGTGGCGGCGGCGGCGGAGACGGCGGCAAAGGGGTGAGCGGCTGCGGGAGAGCGGGGTGGGGTGGGGTGAAGTGAGGGCGGGTGCCCCCTCTGTCGCTGCGGGCGAGGAGTGAAGGCGCGCCCCTGGCATGAGCGGGGCGGGAGGCAGGCGGGGCGGGGGGCGGAGGACACCTCCTCGCTCCTTCGCGGCGAAGGGAGGCCGTTGCGTCTCCCGCGCGGGAGCGAGCCGAGCGGCGCCCCTGCCCTGGCATATGGCAACGCGGCGGCAAGGCAGCGGGTGCCTTCGCCTGCCCGCCCCCGCAGCGCCGCCGCTGCCAGAGGTGGAGGGCCCCGTTGCCATGGTGAACGGGGAAGCATCCCGAACCCCGGCACCGCCGCTCCGCCGGCATGGCAGCAGGACGGGTAAGAAAGCAGCGCGCCCTGGAGCTCTCCTGTGCCCAAAAAGGTGCCCTCTCCGCCCGCTTCCCCTGATCGGGGAGGGGACCGTGCGGGGCACAGCCTGCGGCTCGTAGCGGAGGGAACGGAGCAGGACGTGGGGGCGGAGGAGGAGGCGGAAGCGCATCCTCGGGTGGCTCTGGCAATGGCTTTTCATGTGGCCTTGGGCTGCGTCTCCCTTCCTCCCCCCGGGTCCGCCCAGCGCCCTCTGCCAGGACTAGGTAGGGTGGGCTGGTTGCGAGATTCATTTGGGCGTCGGGAAATCGAGAAGCCGGGGTTGGGGCTCCCGGGTAGCAGGCGCAGATGGATGTGCGCGCGCGTGCTTGCGTGGAAAGGAAGGAATTTTGTGGCCTTCGGCACAGCAGTTTTGTAACGATCCGTTTTTGCTGAATTTAATCTGGACACTAAACACCACGGTGGTTTATGTTGGGCTCATGCTGGCCCTTGGCGGAGCTGGCGGTCTGAAGCTACTTCCTTAATATATTCTGGTGTTGCTGTCTTGGATTGCAGAAGAAAATGTCATTCGCCTTTGCATGTGCATTATGGGGGCTGGATTTGTATTAATAGGCATTTACTTCGCAGGAAAAGGGGGACTCGTTCTATATCTTGAGGGAGTGGGGGAAGGAACTGGTCCTTTATATATGAGTGGGTTGTCTCCACAAGAACATACCTGCTGGGCCTGAATATCAGGCAATATTATCACTGGGTGCAATCTGCTGAAAGTTGCATGTGCTCAGATTACATTGAAATGTAATGAGACTTGCAGAATGCAGTGTGATCCTATGCATGTTTGCTCAGAAGTCCTTTTTAATTCAATGGATACTTCTGTGTGTTTAGGATTGTAGCTTTAGTTCCATTGACTTGCACAGAATTTAAGCATTCCTCATTTTGATAGGACATTGTGTTTATGTTTGGCTTATTAGGTTTGGCTTAGTTCAGTTCAGTTTATAAAATTGTGAATTGCATCCTTTAACCAGTGGAAACCCCAAATAAACTTAATGAACAATAAATAAAATGCAAAAAATACAATATATATGAAAGTATTCCTTAAAACAATAGAATGCAAACACACCGCAGAATTCTTCCAAAATATCATCTAAATAATAAGTATCCCCATACAAAACTAGAATTGACATCAAATGACCACCAAAAGCCAGGTCACTATCCAAATGCCCGGAAAAATAAATATGTATTTGCCTGACAGCATGACAGTGTCACCACCAGAGGAATATTTTCCATAACTGCGGGCTGCCCAGAAAAAGCCTGTTTTCTTGTTGCCATGCTTTGAACATCTCTTGGAGGGAGTACACAGAGAAGAGACTCAGATTGATATATTTATTTCACAGGTTTACAGGAAGCTGCCTTATCCTGAGTCAGTCGACTGGTCCATCTAGCTCAGTACTGTCGACACTGACAAGCAGCAGCTGTCTAGGGTTTCTGACGGGAACATTCCCAGTCCTGCCTGGAGATACCAGGGATTGAACCGGGGATCTTCTGCATGCAAAACATGTATTCTACCATTGAGGTACAGTCCTTTGTATATATTTATATCCTCCCTTTCCTTCAAGAAGCTCAAGGTGGCATACATGCTTCTCCCACACCCGCTTTATCCTCACAACAACCTTGTGAGGTAGGCTAGGCTGAGAAGCTGTAAGTGGCCCAAGCTGAGTAGGGATTTGAACCTTAGTCTCCCAGATTCTAGTTCAGCACCCTTATTCTAGGATCCTGGTAGATTCATATGGAGGGAAATGGCTGTAATTGTCTAGAAGTCACACACTGAGATCAGAACAAGACAAATTTTGGAACATACTGCCTCAAAAGCCTTACAGACACAGGCAAAAATTGTTAAAATGGAATTGGGGGATAAGCCTATAGCCAGGTTGCAACTATGGTGTGTGTTTCTACACGCTTGTGATCTGGACTGGACAAGTACCCACTTGAGGGGCATTTTATGTTAATATTACACACGCCTATTAAAAGACGCAGCCAATGATCTGATTGTGGATGTGTGAAGGATGCCTGTGGGAAGGGTGGTCAAATGGAGAATGTGTTTTAAGACTTTGGAATACAATGTTAATGGGTGGGTCGCTAATTCAGTGCACTGGATTATGCCATTTCTTTGGATGATGTTTTGAGGTATTCCTAGAGAAGACAGTGCTGCTCACAGTGAAAATACAGTGGTGCCTCGCAAGACGAAATTAATCCGTTCCGCGAGTCTCTTCGTCTTGTGGTTTTTTCATCTTGCGAAGCACGGCTATTAGCGGCTTAGCAGCTATTAGCGGCTTAGCAGCTATTAACGGCTTAGCGGCTATTAACGGCTTAGCGGCTATTAACGGCTTAGCGGCTTTAAGAAAAAGGAAACAAACTCGCAAGACGTTTCGTCTTGCGAAGCAAGCCCATAGGGAAATTCGTCTTGCGGAACGACTCAAAAAATGGAAAACCCTTTCGTCTAGCGAGTTTTTCGTCTTGCGAGGCATTCGTCTTGCGGGGCACCACTGTAGATAATAGATAGAGCTGCTTTCTATGAGTGTAAATGGGTAATGTTTGATATACTAGTGATTTCTTGGATCAAGTGCTCCCCTTCCCCCTTTGTTTGATGACCTGGCACAATGCTTAATTCTGCGCTGTTTCTACCAAAGTCTTGCTAAACAGAGCAGGTCATGAAATTCAATGTTTTAATAAATAATTGAGAGTATTCTGAGTACTGTGTGTGCTATGATATCAAGGCTCACAAACCTTCTGATTAAGGAATGTACATTTTGTTTCATTCATCTGTTACAAAGACATCCTCGTGATAATAATGAGCTTAGTGGAACAGATGATTTTTGCCCTTTTTAAGCAGAGAGGTCATACCGTTAAGGATTGTATTGCTTATTATGCTATATTCATGCAAACTAAGATTAACAGCACTTATGATACTTCTGTTAGGCCTTGCAAATTTTGTCCCTGCTCCATCTGTAAAATAGCACAGATAAGCTCCTTACTGCCAATAGAATCTTATTACTGTATGTTGATCAGAACTTCTGCTGAAGGTGAGCTTGGAAGACAGAGTCCCACCAGGTTCCCCACCCCCCTTTCACTCGTTGCAAAGTGAAATTGTATTCAGCACTGGTGGTGAAGCTACAGCCACTAAGTCCACAATAGGGTTTTGGTAATAGTTTTATTATATCGGCTCCAAGCCATCCCATACTCTGAAATTCAGTGTTCTCCATGAGATGAAGTGCATTTTCAGCTGTTGGTTGGGCCTTATTTAGAGTGCTTTACTTCTGTATTGTACTGTGATGTAAGTAGAAAAGTTGCTTGCAAGCTACTGTTGGTCTTATTGATCAGAGCCCCACCCTTCCTTCTTTCATCCTGCCCATTAGCAATATCATGTCATATCTTTGACCATGTTGTTTCTTCAAAGAAAAGGGCAATTTATAAATTTCAAAAGAAAATGGTGCCACGCATTGCTAAAAATTTTTGCCATTATCAAGGTTTAAACTGATCTGGGTTTCAGCCCTGCAATAATCTATTTTCAGTACTAGGGGTGAGCCCTCTAATATGTGAAGAAATAAATAAAAGTGCTTCTGAACATGTACTTTTACATTAGTATTAAGTTACTGCAGTGGACACCCACCCTTAGAAGTGAGGAGAAATGGATTCCAGGGCAAATGCCTTTACTCCCATGCAGACCTTACTACCCCTGCACCAACTCAGTTAATAAGATGTTTGTGGGGGTGTTGCAGTGTTAATACTGCAGCAGAGACCGGTCTGCTGTATGAATCGTGCTCAATGTGGGAAAAGGCCCTACTGTAAACGGAGGCAACAGCAAACTTCAAAACTATTTGACACTTCAATGCTCATAGTTCTGACGTCACCAGCATGGCACTCGTGGGGACAGTGGAACCACTGTGGATTCTCTTTAAGTGCTGTTCTCACTGCCCCTTCATCAGGAAGTGACTTCCCCTGCCATGAAACATACATGGAGTTGAAGGAGGAGGTTGGGAGCATTAAAGGCTCAGAACAACATCTTAGCAGAAGAACAGATGAAACATACCTGGCTGAGAGGATAGGAGGGCAAGGGGAGCAATCTGGGAGACTAGAGGGAAGAAAATGTAGCACCTGGGGAGGAGAAAGTGGGGTGACTCAGGAATTGGAGGAGAGAGAAAGGGAATACTCCACTTGGAGTAAAAGCCTAGGGATAGGAAGAGTTGCTCTATTGGTCGTGCCTGTGGATGCCCACAGCAATTACACCAAAATATATAAATAAAGTTGCAGAAGTGGTGGTCAGACTGTGCCTTATTTTCAGGGCTTAGCTTGAAAAATGATGGAGTATGCAGCAATGATTTGGCCAAGCTTGTAATGGAAAACAGAGACGTGTGTACCATCAGGCAGTTACATCTCTACAACACTTCT